AACAAATAAAAAACTAAATAAAATCTGGGGTCTCCCATTTATTGTAAAACATTGCAAATGTGTTAAAGCCTGCTAAGTTGTTTTTTGAAATGATCAAGTCTGAATTGCATGAATTTTGCTTCAATTAAAAATTGTCACTACTTCTGAGGTCTAGAAACTGTTTTAAGCTTACTGTGTTAAAGGTTATGTTTGTCTTAAGCAAGCAAAATGGAGAGAGGTTTGCATCAAGGAAAAAAGCATGAAACACTATGATTAAAAAAAGTAGTGTGACCCTTAAATGACTGTTTTTCTGCTGGAAAAGCCTTTCCAGCGAAAAGTAATGGCAGTTGTCAACCCTGAGCACATTTGTATCACTATTACAAAATCATCAAGAGAAAGCTTATTTTTAAAAATAAATTTGTGACATCATCTGCCTCATAGAAGCATGAATATGTCACCACAATAAACAATCTCCCAGACTTATTATAAGCTAGAAAATACAGTAATTCATTAGCTTTAAGTATATGCCTTTACTTAAATTATAAGGCAGGGAACTGAAAAATAATATTATGTACTGTATTATGAGATTGCTACTTTACAAAGCTTGTCAATTTGAAGGTTTATTCCCTGTGTGAAAATACAGAACTATATGCCCATAGTTAGTTTAGAATTAGCCTTAATAGAAAAGTACTTCAGAAGTGAATCAAAGAACTCAGAAATTTACTGTGGTAGTGGTAAACTACCTTTCTTTCCACTAGCTGTTGATCAGCAAGGGTACGTGGTTAGGCTCCTTGCTCTCTGGAAGACAATCATATCCTAGTAACTAAAGGAATCATGCAGCTTCTTTCAAATAAGCAACAATGACTTACACTGACACTGCTTCCCAATAACATAACTATCTATATAGTATTTTACACAAGAATATCCAAAACATTTCAGCAATAAAGTGTGGAGACTAACTTCAGATTAAGGTTTTCTAAACACTAAATACTAGAAGAAGACAAAAAGACTAAATGGGAAGATATGTTCATATTTTATTCTAATTATTGTCCACAAATAAGACCTGCCTGCTTGCAATCATTAAGCTATTTTAGATATTTTGCATTATTTTTATTTTGTAAGTGATGGGTAGGACATCTTGTGGCTTGCTGTTATGTGATGGAAGCTCTGTTTTTAAGGTAAAGATGGTGAAATTAGCCATCAGTGACTACATATTAGGCTAACAGATACCACAAATTGCTGCTTTTGCACTTAGATGCATTATTATAAATGTGTTCTGGGATGCAGAAAATGAAGATGGAAACTGATGTAGTTCAAAAAAAATCAAATTCTGCTTCAATATTGTAATAAAACAATAATCCCAGAATTTGTTTAGCAAGAACACTCTCAAGAAATTGCATTTGGGTACTTACTGGAAGTACTCAATATTTTATCAATTTGTCATGAATATACCAGTTGCTCAAATGAAGAATGGAAAGGTAGAATAAAGCTTTAATTTCCATTTGAAGATAAAAGGTACTCTAATATTATATAAACATTTCTAAAATCCTTACTTTCCCTTATTTGAGACAATGTTAACTTTTTACTAGAATTTTACATCTAATTTAAATGATACAAGTTATTTTTTGTTTTGTTTTTGCTTCTTTGGCTCATCTAATCATCCCACACTATCCTGGTGTTCCATGTGCACACATTGTATTGTTTGCATCAAGCAAAGCTACAAAGATAAATACCTACCAGTCAGAATGGTGACTCACACACAGGCCACATAAATATTATTAGGCCCCCTTACTTTCGGTTACCTTCCCTTGTGGGTTGTAAAGAGCAAGCCTTTGAGTTGAATTATCTTGATATCTACTACGGTCACTGCCAGTAAGTGATGCTGTTCTTTCAGTTACTGCAACACGGACCTCTGCTACTCTGAGAGTATTTTTACCAGCATCCGAGAGACAGAGCAATAGAAAAAGAGATAATGAGAGACAAATATAGAGATCTCTCAACCTCTGGCTCACACAAAATGGAAGGCGAAGGACTAGGTCAGGCCAGGGTGAAAGTGGGGAGCTGGGAACTCAATCCAGGTCTCCTGTATGTGGCAGGAACCTAATTATTTGAGCTGTCACCATTGCCTCAAAGGCTCTGCATTAGCAGAAAGCTGGAGTCAGGAGCCAGAGCCAGGAATTGGACTCCGGGACTCTTGACATGTGGTACAGGCATCCAAACCTCTGAGGTGAATGCATGCTCTTGAAAATCTTTATATTTAGGGAGCTCTACTATCTGATTATGTTACTATCTAATACATATATACACACACACACATATATATCAGATAGCATATATACATATATGTGTGTGTGTGTGTGTGTTTCTGTGTCCTTATGAACACTGATGGAGACTGGGCTATTTCCTTCTACTTGTCTGTACACTTCCATAGGAAATATGAACATCATCACAGATCTTAAGAAACTAACTTCACCCAAATTTCTCACAGCAGCAGATTTTTAGCTTCTAAACAATTTTATATACTACTACATTGATATTCATGGCATGCTTTATTAGAAGAAAAGAAAAATTGGATATTTCATAAGATGATGTAGTTATGCATTGTGGCTCTCTATTTACAGGCTCTAAACTCTATCAAAGACTTCCTTTTACATGACTCAGTCTATAATACCTGTATATAAAATGAGGATAAATAATTCCTATTTTTATGTTGTAGACTTTTCTTACCACCCAAATAAAATAATGTACAAAAAATATCTTTGATTTATAAAGTACTGTACAGACACTTGCTAATACCAAGATAATTACAGAATCTCAAGTATACTAAACATTAAGCCATTGATAAGAATTAATATATAGTAAATGGAGTTTCAATGCCATACAACTACGGACACTGTGGTGGCCTAATGAGAAATTAAGTAAGCCTGCTTTTACCATTCCTTTCTATTAAGAGTTAGATTTTGCTTGCAATATTTCATGTCACATAAATAAAATAATGTTGCTTTAACAAATATTTACACATAGTTTTTCCATTTAATAACAGGGAATATTAATAGAGATTCATCTCAATTTTAATTCAATTTCATATTTTCGGCTAAACTGAATGGCCACAGGGCTATGTTCTCTTTTTGTGGATCCTTAATTGATTTAATGAGGTTCATGCCATATATTAATGATATATTAAATTGTGTCTCTTTGTATGATAAACTGAGGTACATTTGTGAAAACTGTCAAGTCCAGTAAGAAATATTATTTTTCATCACCAGAAAAAAGAAAGATGAGCATCCAGTAGGATTTCTCTCAGTAACTGTGTCAGTAATAAACAAATATAATTAGGCAAACAAAGCACAGCTTGCAGAATAAAGGATAAAATCTCTGACACTGAAGTCATTACTGATTATTTTAAAGCAGTCAACATTGTCAAAATGCTGTTATGACAAGCTTCCTTGTTTGTCAAAGCAACAGTCTTTGAAGCACTTTCCTAATCTCATCTCCAGGCTGGAAGTATCCCCACCTTTGCAGATTATGTTATCATGCCCTATTCTTAGCAACTATTAACTCCCGGATGATTTGAACAAATACTTTCTGATATATTTATTTAAAGTAAGCACCTATTGATTCTCTGCCAGTGAATGAAGATCAAAATGAAAAGAAAAAGAGGAAACAGAATGGAATGCCATGTGTCTATACATTCCTCTCTTCCATATGGCCACCATGGTATCTGAGAACCAGAGCATTCTCCAGATCTGCATTACTCTGAAAGCTTCCATTGACAACAGACGAAGAAGCAACACATAGCATGGGTTATTTCCAGAATTTGACTAGATTTTCTTTTTGTAATTTCTGCTTATTTTTTAAACTTCAGAGACTGTCATAGCTTGTGAAGATTTGGAAAGAACCGGAATCCCTTAGGATTGTTAATTTCTTGGGGGAAACTCTGGAGAAAAAAAGGAGCAAAGGCTGATCCAACAAGATTGAGGAAGATATTTTCCTTGACTGATCCATAATCTTTAGGGCTGCCTACAAATGCCCAAAAAGGGCGAGGCAAGCAAATGGCAACACAAAGAGAAATTCTCAGCTATTTGCATGATCCTTGTCCCAGGCCCAATGCTGACAGAAGTATCTCACCAAACAACATCATGTTTATTCCTGAAAGAATTGATAAAGTTATACTCACTCAATAAGCATACCAATGAGCAGATAACTACTATTTCAATCAATTATGCTCTGTAGTTCTCTAAACATTTTCACACATATTCTTTAAGTTCAACTTCTTGAGACTAGAACTGTAAGATGCAATAATCTCACCTCAGAGAAGAACAAACAAGGTTAGAGGAAGGATCGAAGTAGCAGCAGAATGCAAATGGAGGCCTTTTGGCTATGCACAGGCTTTTCCCACTATATCATGTCACCTTCTGGAGTCTTGTAAAGCACTCTGCCTTTATGATCTACATTGATAAAAACTATTTATGAAATCACAGTGGTGGCTGATTAATACCAACAATGAAATTATCTTAAATTTGTCTATTGCTTATTGAGAATAAATAGCCTTACAAAAATCCAATAAGTCAAAAACCCAATCCACCTAGTGGGTCTAAGTGCTGAGCTTTAACATTTTAAGTGAAAACAAAATCATTTACAAATCAACTCAGGCATTTTTTTTTTACTACTGTGATTGGTGGCATGGAATTTTTTTTTTTGCTTGTGTATGTTACTATCACATTAGTAACCATCAGAAGCATATATGTAACTTTGCTAAAAGTGCAAAGCAACTACAATTCAGGAGGTCTATACTACTTTAAGTTTGATCCGCCTCTCCTATAAAAAAGCAGAAGAAAATTCAAGTTCAAAAGGTAACATGTGGCATGGTGGTCTTTAGCTGCAGAGTTCCCTTCCGGACAGAAACTTTATGGTATTAAGCAGTAACACAAAAAACACTTTGATTTGCAGGTTTAATTTTTTGTCTACAGTGGATTAAACATAGGTTAGAGTCTAAATTACTTAACAGAAGAGAAACTTACCTCTCCCCATGTTTTCCTGTGGTTTCTGACAGGTTCTTGGTTGATGAGTCCCTGTACAAAAAAAGAGCAATTACATACAATCAGATTCACAGAGGCTGAGTCACTGCATCAGATAAGCTCCATTACAGCTGATGCGGTCAATGTGAGCCTTTCACTTCAGTGCACTCCAATCTTGTCCCTTACAGAAATGTTGTCTCCATCGCAAACAGATATCTAATCTCAAAGGACAGAAACACTGTTCTGGAAGCCTAGGCTCTATATCATCTTACTCTGACCTTCTTTATCTGGTATTAGCTTCTGTTCTTGCCAAATAAAAATCATCAAATTGGTCACATGCTAATCTCCTAAGAAAGCAGTGATAACAACAAAAATGGAGAACAAAAATGCTGAAGGGCCTACAGTTAATAACCAGGCTGCCATGTCATTAGCTAGCCTGTCCCTAGATTCACTTCAGTATCATTCTGTGACACATTAGATACCCTTTACAGCATAACATTTTCCTGAGTGGTGTCAAACAGCAGCACCTCCAATCAAATTAGCCCTGAGGCAAAACAATCAACAGAGTCATTTACAATAAATAAAATGAATCAATGGCCATGAGCTACTGACAAAAGAAACTTTAGGGAAACAAAAGCCCACATATTGCAACTGCACAAAGTGCTCACAGCAGAATAGCAATTATGGGTTTAAAGAATGAGAAAATATATGCAGCTGTCCTGCAGTATCTGGGTATGACTGATTCCAGGAAACCCAACCCTATCACAGAAACCTGGGGGGTGTTTGGGGGGGTCCAGTCTCCTATATAAAATGGTATAATAAATAATCTTTAAGGGAGGGCAACATTGTGACACAGTGGCTTAGTTTGTCACTTGTAACATCAGCATCTTAAACATGTTCCAATTTCATTCTCGGTTACTTTACTTCTGATCCAGCTCCCTGCCGATGTGCCTGGGAAAGTAACAGAAAGTTACCCAAATGTGTGTGCCCCTGCACCTAAGTGGAAGACCCAGATGAAGCTACTGGGTTTGGCTTGGTCCAGTCCCAGAAATTGTGACCATTTGCGAAGTAAACCAACAGTTGGATGTTCTGTCTGTATGCATCTTTTTCTGTAACTAAGCGTTCCAAATAAATAAATAAATAATAAAATAATATAGTTTTTGCATGTATAATATATGTATATAGTATGTGTGTATATTATAGTATATAGTATATGCACATTCTCCTTCATACTTTAAATCATCTCTAGGGGGCAGTGTTGGGGCATGATAAGTAAGGCTACCGCCTGTGACTAGCATCCCATAGAGGCATCACTTCTATTTGAGTTCCAGCTGCCCCATTTCCAATCCAGCACCCTGCTAATGCCCTAGGAAAAGCAACAAAGACAGCCAAAATGTTTGGAGCCCTGTTACCCATGTGGGTAACTCAGTTGAAGCTCCTGGCTCCTGGAAAAGCCAAGCTCAGCCCTGGCTATTGCAGTCACTTGGGGAACAAATCAGCAGCTGGGAGATATCTTTCTCTTTGTGTCCATATCTCTCTACAGGAAAAGAAAGTTTGTCTATGTTCATTACAGACACAATTTTGCCCTTTCTAATATTTCCACTCTTTGGTTGGTTTACTCTATGGGTGTACAATCAGGAGATCATTTTCTTATAGAGTTGCTATAAAGATATTGAACATTTATTATTAACTGTCATGTCCCCATCTGTAGTGGAATGCCTTACTTGAAGATAAAGAGACAGTTGAAGAATAACTATCAAACTCCGAGACCTAATAATTGCCTGTGTGACACTGGGCAAATCATTTTGTTTTTTAATTCTTTGCAAATGGAGGGGACTGAACTATAAGAGTGTTTCTCAAATTACTATCCACAACATGTCAAACTGATCAAATAAAATGTAGGAAAAGCTGATTTAGGCTCTTTTTAAGTTACAAGACTTCATAGCCTTTTTAAATGCCAATGAGCAATGTGACAAAAGGAGAGTCCCAACATACTTGGGCTGCACGGTTTCTTTTATAAGTAGGGTTACTCAAGAGTCCTATTCTTAGAAGCTCAGTTTGGGAAACTTGACCAGAATTTCATTGTTTCCTAATAAGCTACTAATTCTATGGACCCAAATTAACATAAAGTGAATCAAGAAAGACATCAAGTGGGTTAGATTCTCAGAGGATTTTAGGACTGAGAGTTTATATTTTAAAAGATGTATTCATTAATTGTAAGGCACAGCATCAGAGAGAGAGACAGAGACAGAGAGGAAGAACAAGAGGTCTCCCATACACTGGTTTACTACAAAAGTGGCTGCAACAAAGGATGTATCAGTCCAAAGTGAGGAGCTAGAAACTCCATCCTAGTCTCTCACATGAGTGGCAGGAGCTCGAACAATAGGCCATCATCTGCTGCCTTCTCAGGTACCTTAACAGTGAGCTGGATCCAAAGTAGAGCATCTGGTCTGGAACTAGCACTCTGATAGTGCTGGCATGGCAATTGATGATGGCTTAAGATGTTGCACCACAAAAATGTTGGCCCCTGAAATGAACCTCATCATCCACTTTTTCTGAAAAGTAGCAAATAGCTCTCAAAAACATCTTATGCAGAACACTAATATAGAAAACGTGTTTGGGCCAGTACTGTGATATAGTAGGCTAAGCCTCCACTTGTGGCACCAACATCCCATGTGCGTACTAAATTCAAGTCACAGTTGCTCCACTTCCAATCCAGCTTCCTGCTGCTGCACCTGGGAATGCAGCAGAGGATCGATCAAGTGTTTAAGCCTCTACATCAACATGGGAGATCCAGAAGATATCCTTGCTCTTGGCTTTGAATCAGTCCAGCTCCAGTGGCTGAGGACATTTGGGAAGTGAACTGGTACATGCAAGATCTCTCTTCTCTCCCTCTGTAACTCTAACTCTGCCTTTCAAATAAAAATAAATCTTGAAAAAAAGAAAGAAACGAGTTAGGGAAGAACTCTAAGTTGAACTGGATTCCCACCTGTCCCATGCAATGAAATTTCTGTGAGACAACCTAAATGTCTTATCAAAAATCTAGCATTAAAGGAATTAGAGTTTGAAATCCAGTAACCCCTGACCCATCAGTTGAAGCAATTCTACGAAGGCTTAGGAAAAAACTGAGATCTTATATATACTTATAGAAAGTTCCTTCACCTTTCTCATCTCAATTTTAACCATAACCACTAATATAATAAATAAAATGATTAGCATGTAAACAGAATTATCAAATCTTTCTCTGGGAAAAGTTCTAAGAAAACTATGGTATTAAAATAATAATTAGTGTACAAATAAGAAGTGCCAAAGGAGCTAAGCAGGAAGTGATAGGGCTAAATTTGGACCTCAGGAAGGCATCTCCGGCAGCAGCAGGAAGAGGAGATTTGAGGGATGTAACCTGATCAGGGATGGTGATATTACAGAGGCTAGGTAAGTCTGGCAGCACTACTTGAGTTTTACTTCTTGTTTGTTTTTCAATATTTTATAAAGTCTTTTTGAAAAGAATCAAGCCCATTTCAGTTGTGTTATGGGGAACCACAATGGAAAGGGCTATCTGTCAAGCAGGAGCCAGGAGTTTCAAAAAGGAAGTGTTTCTCCAGAGGTCAACATAGTGGAGAAAAACAGGCACTCTTGGAGACATCTATTTTCCCGTGGAAGATGAAACCAAGGAGACATAAATCAATAGCACGTTTCAGCTACCTCACGTAGCCTTAAAGCTCCAAGATAAGAAACTTTTTCTAAAGAAAAAATAAATCTTCCTAACAGATTTGAGATTCAAGGTTGGCTTCTTGTATCACCCTGAACTGCCCCACTGCCAGGTTACCTCTCTTGCGTTGTCTTCTGCTCTCTTGGTTTTGCCTCCTCTTTTCACTATGCTGCTTTTTCTAGAAAACAGTTTATTTGTGAGTGTGTGAGTGAGTGGGTGAGTGTGTGTGTGTGTGTGTGTGTGTGTGTGTGTGTGACAGAGAAAGAAAGAGAGACAGAGAGTTTACACTTTTCTAAGCAGAAATGTTCTTTGATCTTGACGCTCGGCCAGGTCCCTCTTACCAAGCTAAACATTACCCCTAACGTTGTAGCAACACACTTAAAGAGAACAAAGCAGCTTCCAGTTAGACTTTAGGAAAGCTAAATAAAACAATCACTACTCCAAAGATTTACCCAGTCTCACATTAAGTATATTCTACAACCAAATTCCACCTTCCTTAAGACTATGCTTAAGACTATGGTGGTATCGGTGAGTTGGGCTGCTGCCTGCAACACTAACATCCCATTCAGGCACTAGTTCAAGCGCCCCAGGTACTCCACTTCCAATCCCTCTCCCTACTAGTGTTCCTTGGAAAAAGCAGCAGAAGACAGATCAAATGCTTGGGTTCCTGTGCCCATACAAGAGACCTGGAAGTTCCTGGCTTTGGCCCACCCTAGCTCCAGCAGTTGCAACCATTTGGGGAATGAACCAGTAAATGGATGCTTCATTCATTCTCTCTCTCTCTCTCTCTCTCTCTCTCTCTCTCTCTCTCTCCGCCCCCCCTTTCAAATAAGTAATTCTTGAAACACAGACTATACTCCAGCCAAACTGACCTCCAAACTTACCCCTCTGAATATTCTTTGAACTACTACAACTCTTAGCCTCCATTCATTCTGCATTTGTTTGCTCCTACAAAAATTCCATCTACCCTTCAATATCAACACTGATGCCTTTCCTCATTGCCTGAGCAGGAAACAATCTCTTTTTCCTTTGAAGTCCCATATAATATGCAGGTAACAGGTAGCTTAGGTGCTACCCCATAGAGACATGCATATAGTATCTACAAGCCTAATTCTCAGAGGGTAAGCACTTGTCCTGACCTGTATCTAGTCCATGCACGGCATGAGATCATTCCCAGTGAGGGTCTGAGTGGTCCACCCAAACCAAACTCAGGGCAAGAACTTATGCCAAGCATGTTCAGAGCACATTATGTTTCCTTAACTTTCTCTTAATACAGATCATTCATTATTCCAACTGTAATTCTTCACATATCACCTTAACTGTTCATTCTTGTGTTTAGTCAATTAAAAAAAAATAGTGAGAGTCTTTCAATTTCTGGGGACAGTTCTGTTCTTCAGGGCAGTAGCTCTCAACTCTGGAAAATCCCCTTCACGTAGGACATCTGGC